AAACCTGTGTTCCAGATCTGATATTCTGTCTTCACATATTTTCATTTTGCTGGATATACTTTCAAAATAATTTTTGATCTCATGAATATCTGACTGAATCTTTTTCATGGATTCCATTTCTTTCCTATGTGAGGCATTCATGGTTTCCATCATTTTCCTAAGCTCATATATTTATTTTTATCTGTATCTTCTCTAGATTCACTAATCATGCCCTTTATTATAGTCATCATCTCTGAAGTTACTAGAGAAATTATTTCTGATTTGATTGTATCTAAAGCCTCATTCATTTGCTTTATGACTTCTGCTGTTACTACTTCAGAGAGCCCAGGTGGGTGGTTTTTTAATTATTCCACTTCACTGCCCCCCTGGTTTGTCTTTGGAAGTCTGAGGTTGCCTCTTTCTTCAATGTCTTCTCTCTAATTTAATTATAGAGTTTAACTCCTGCACTGAAGTTTATAAATTGTGTATAGTAAGTATCTTTATTGCTAGTATTGAGAACTCTTAAGAAATGACTACTTTTCAGAGATGTCTTCTGGATATAGCTGGCATTGGGTTTTGAGTCATTACAAATTCCTACTTCTTCAATTTATTGGGGATAAGAAATTTCTGACTACTTGGCCTAGTCCCTGTTTCTTTGGCACTGGCCTATAGTACTGTTTCTGACCCTCAGGTAATCTCAGTCTTGGCATACAAGGAAGAACAACTGATTAGAACAATTACTTGTTCTACAGCAATAATATTTCAGTAATAAACAGCATCAAACACACCTTAGATGTTTTTCTTAGTAAAGTATAAAATCAAACACTAGTTCCATGTATATAGGTGGGGAGCTCAGTGGAGAACAATTATTAAAAATTAAGTACTGAGAAAAAATTTTTTAAGGTTGGTATTGAGGAAATGTGATATAGTAGATATTGGTGTTATATCAGGGTGTTTTTTTTTCTAACTGAAATTATGTATTTAAAGAGGAGGAAAAGGAAGAGGAGGGAAAAAAAGAGGAGACACCCCCCAGCCTAATATTTGCAGCAGCTTTGCGTTATAATAAGGTCCAGTGACATAACCAAGAGACAGTTCTTACTACAGAAAGCAGAAAGACATCTGCCATTTGTGTCACTGTAACAGGAACCAAGTGTTTCTCAACAGGGCAGAATTGAGGGGCACTACCCTGTTTTCACTCATTAGATTCTGGGCACTCTGCAGTAAGTCACTCCCCATTGGACTTCAGCCACTCTGTTACCACTTCCTGGTAACAACAATCTCGCCTATCAGTCAACCAGAAAGCTTAGCAAGTTTGGCCCCAGAGCTAAGACTTTTGACACAAAAAATTTTCCAATTTATACTTTTTAGGGCACCATTACCTGTGACAAGTTTATTAGGTTTCTTACAAAATATTGTGAAATTCAGTTTTCATCAATGTGAACTATATTTTCTTTTTAAGATGTCAATTTCTTTGAGCTTTTGGTGCACTTGAATTGTGAATCCTGAAGATGTGGGTGCAGTAATGCACACTTCCTCAAGTGTCTGAGCATAGGAGTATAAGACAGAAATATTATTAACAACTCACATGTCCCCAAAAGTCCTACAGAATATAATGTGGGGGAATGCTGTGACAAATGGCTGAGAAAAAGGGGCAACTTTATGTGTATCATTAAAAAATGTACAAAAAAGTGCAAATATATACTCTTTATAATACTACTGTCCTGATTTTCACTGAATTCTCAGCCATGGAAGCCAAACTGATCATCTTGACCTCTTATACTTGTCAGAAACTCCTTGCAAAGTTTTAAAGAAGTACAATGTGTTTCTCAGGGAATAAAGCAGGTGAGTGAGTTCCTCATGATTACTTCACATATTAATCTCTCTGCTAACTTCAAAGATGCTATGAGACCAGCACACCTTTTCTCCTCCAGTCCTGCTGGGCTCACCCTTCCAGGTGGACACATGGGAGTGCTTTCACCAGCCAGACCTTGTCATTGCACTCTGACTTGGAGACATCCCTAGGTTAGCACATGGCAGACAGGCTATATGAAGCTACTGCCCTGGGGACTGAGGAGGAATACAGTGAAGAAGCTAAGAATTACTGCAGGAGGTGGAGGCCACCTGAGACCCAGAATAAGCAAACAGCTTATAAAGTTTTACTTTAGTCTCTACAATTCTATCGGCTCTCTGGTTGCTGCTAGTTATGGTCTGTCTTGCTTCAGACCATCCCACCCTACAAGGCAGGGGCTTCTTGTGGAAGGGGACAAGTCCTATTATTTGTACACTCCAGCATGGACTCCTGCCTGATACCCAGGAGCACGGATTTGTTGTTGCTGTTTCTAAGGATTATGCTCTGAGTTGGGCTGCTCCACTCTCCCTTTATACATTATAGAGATTTCTTCTGCACATAAAGGTAAAGAAAAGATACAATGGATGTACTTGCCTAGTTGGACATACCATAGCCCATCATGCACAGGTAGCTAGAAATTCAATTCCAAAATGAAAAATCATTTTTTTTTTTTGTAATTTTCAAGACAGGAGCTTGCTATGCAGTTCAGGCTGGACTTGAGCTCATTTTGTAGCCCAGGCTGGTCTCAAACTCACAATGATCCTCCTGCCTCAGCCTCCCGAGTGCTGGGATTACAGGTGTGTGCCACCACGCCCAGCTGTTGTGACTAATTTTCAAGTAGGATCACAAGTTAATAGATCAGTGGCTAAAAAGCTGCACCCAATTCTTCAATGAGATTCTTTCTTCAGTAAAGGACACAATCTAAGGTAAGTTACATACCTTTGCTTGTCTCTCATCTTCTCTACCTGAAGGACAACCTGCTGTCACCTTAATTTTGAATTAAAAACCCCACAGTTTGCAAATATTATTTTTTTTCTCAGTCAATCCTTTTGCTCCGGAGACCACTGACCCTTGCTTTAGGATCACTCTGGGTGGACGGGCTTTACATGCTTCAAAGTTCCCATGTGTCCCCAAGCCCAGCCCACAGGCTCATCCACATGATCCCCAACTGCCCAGTCCTGAGTTGGCTCCAAATAGCTATTGTGCATTTACTTCTAATGCAAGGCAGCTTCCTCATGACTCAACCTAGTTGCTCATTTGAGAGTTTTCCATTATGAGGCATCTGGTCCCCAGCTGTGGGCTGCCTTCCACCCCTTCTGAAGCTGGGGCACCATCTCAAGAGTGTCCACACGATTCTGACTTGTGCATCTCCCTGCATTTTTGGTTCATGTGATCTGCCCTAAGAAATTGCTCCCTCCCAGAGATGGCCTCGCCCAGCAATCCTCTCTTGACCATATCCCAGACACTTCCCCTCTGAGGGAAGTTAGACACCAGGTGAGCCCTGAGCCTGGGAGATGACAGGAGCTTCCTGGTCTTCAGTGGGGGTGCAGGGGCCCATGTCATATGGGACTTGGCCTCAGGCCTCTAAGTGGCCAAGGGCTTTCTCTCCAGGGAACTTACCTGCCAACCATGATCAGTGGAGACTATTTTACTTCAAAGTTCATCTGGTTGGAAAGCACTTCATATCATTCCATATGGGCCAAAATCCTAAATTTTGAGACCAGGCAGGAACTTTTGTCTTGGTAGAGAGATCTGACTTGGTTCTCAGGTGAATGAAGTGATTGTTTGCCTACCAAGACACTTGGGGAATTTTTGACATCAGTTTTGGGGCTCTGTTTTTCCCCCTCTTTCTTTTTTAAATCCAAACTAAAAAAAAAAAAAAAAAAAAAAAAAAAAACAATACAAAACAAACAAAAATAAACCTAAAAGGTTCTGGGAACATTGGGAACACTGTGAGCTTGAGACCAGCCTGGGCTACAAAATGAGCTCAAGGCCAGCCTGAACTGCATAGTGAGACCATATAAAAAAAAAAAAAAAAAAAATGCCGAGCATGGTGGTACATGCCTGTAATCCCAGCACTTGGGAAGGAGGCTGAGGCAGGAGGATTGCCATGAATTTGAAACCAGCCTGCACTACACAGTGAGTTCAAATTCAACCTGAACTATATAATGAGATCTTGTCTAAAAAAAAAAAAAAAATTTAACCACCACTGAAACTGATCAGATGCCTAAGCAGCCAGACATCTCAGTTGAAGCTAGCTGACAGGATGTAAATCAGCTTCTCAACTCTGTACTGAAGGGCCAGTGTTAGAACGTTTTTTGACTGATTGTGGATTAATACTTTCCCAAAATATAAAATGAACTGCTTAAAAAACTCAGACATAAAACATAAGCATAAATTTTTGGATTTAAATAAAAGTACTCTGTCAAATTGGTATAAGAATTTCTATTCTCAATTTCTGCTTTTATCCAGTCATGAATCAGCTGAATAGTGCACGGACAGGCACAGAACACGCTCTGTAGTTTCAGTAGTGCTGATGAAGAGAGGTGCCTCACATGGAAATGTTTCATATTTATAGTTCAGCCCATTTTCTTTGACAGTACACAGTGCTTCTGGCCTCTTCTCTGCTCATCCTAGTTTGCTATTAATAATAACCAACATCTACTAATTTTGCCATGAACACACTGCCTTCTTCCATCTCACACCAGCTCACAACCACGGAAGTGAATGGGCCTCACTTCTATGCACTTATTTTGCATTTATGTCCTCTCACTGCAGGTTCTCCCTACCACAAGTATCACCCTTCCTGCCCAGTCTGTCCTGAGGAAACTCATTGAGCTCCTAAGTGCCTATAGATAACATGCATGTTACATATAATGCATACTATATAACATAGTATGTATAACATACTTAACACTAAAATAGAATATATAATTACTCTATATAATAGACTAGTATACATAATTATATTTTATACATAATGATATATAGGTACTTAAAAACATGTATTACACAAAATATATTGCATGTATCTAACATAAAGCAATACATTACAATTATAGATAAAATTATGTAATTATATCTGCATAATATATACACCTCTGAACTGAACATAAACAATATGTAATGTAAAATGTCTACAGTTGGGGGTGGTTATGCTTGCCCCACTCACCAGTGTCGTTGGGGTATTTGTCGCCCCTGGTGCACGTCCTCCCATCCTCGGTGAGGACGTAGCCCTCCCGGCACTCACAGCGGTAGCTGCCCACAGTGTTGATGCAGATGTGTGCACACACAGTCTGGTTGCTGGTGGCGCACTCATCAATATCTGGATTGAACCCAATGCAGAGAACGCTCAGTTTCACAGAAGTCACTTCAAATCCAATAGTTGACATTAGGCTTGGCCCCTCTGCTAATATCTGCAAAGGACACTGTCAGACCTTGACCAGAGAAGCCTGGAATAAAGTCAGGTGCGGGAAACGTGAATGATCATGATATCAGCATCATGGCCACGGGACTGTCATTAAAGACGTGGTGGGCGGTGTCCCTGTGGCTTGCTGCAGCCTTTGCTAGCCTTCAGAGAGCTCACCTGGAAAGCAGTGATGCATCCTGCCCTAAGTATTTCCCAAGGTTCCTCTGAGGAGAGAATGAAGCCATCAGTTGATGGCAAGACAATTTGAGAAGCTGACCTTAAATTGGTGACTTTTTCCAGGTAGCCTAGTGTGCTGAGGTTTAACCCTTATGGCTGTAGGTTCCAAACACCATGATGGTGACCCAAAGGTCACTTAGGAATGGCTCCTTCCTAGTGAAGAGATATAATAGTACTTGGGAAAAGCTGCTTCTAATAAAAGAAAAATTGTCATGAGAGACATAAGGGAGAAAGGTTTCCCCAGGAAACCTTTGACCCAGACAGACCCCTTATGGGCTGTGGAAATGAGCCATGAGATCATCAAACAAGTAGCCAGTGAAAGTCTGTGTTAACTGTGCACATCACAGACTTGGTCTCCTGCTGCATGGGATGAAAACAAAAGCAAGGACTGAGCTCATTTCCTGCTCACTGGCTGGAGATGCCAAGTTGCAGTGACTAGGAACTAGGACACACAGCCCCAGACTGCGTACATGTGGTGGGGAGAGAGAGCCCAACCCTGACCTTTCTGATGCCAATGCCTTCCCAGCCACTCCCTGTACAGCCTGCCAAGGACCCAGCTCTGGCAGGCCCTGGGTATGCTGAGGAGAGTGAGGTCACTTGGGTGCTCCCCTCGCAGTCCATACTACACCACCAGAGCCTGGAGGTCGCCTGGCTTGATCCTTCTCTGCACTCCCTCAGGTTGTCTGTCTTCAGGTGTCCCTGACCTAAACTGTACTGTGCACCTGACTGAGAGAAGACATTTTTCTTAACAGAATGCAAATTCCGTTTCTCCTCAAACCTCAAATGACAAGAATACAGCCTGGAAGCTACCATAAACTCAACTAAGAGCCCCTGTGCCTCTAACTGAGCTTATCCTCTCCGCAGGAAGAGCTAGGGATCCTGTTTCCATCATTTGATGGTCTCACTTCCACTCCTTGCCAGTGTGAGGTGCCATTCCCAGATGCGGCTGGGGGGGATTAGGGGACTTAGGATGAGACCTTCTGTTAAATGACCTTCCCTGAGCCCAGACTGGGGCAGAGAAGGAAGTCTGCTCATTGCCACTAGCTTCTCACATGGTTCCACCTCGGTTCATTATCCAGAGCTCATCTGAGCATGTAAACTGTTAGACATTGGTAAAAATGCACATTCCCAGGCCCACCTTCAGAGCTAGTGAGGTTTGGAAGGAGGTTAGCTTTTTTATTAAAGCAAGGGCTCAACTTGCTTCTGATAAAGATTAGCCAAGGCGCAGCCACACTCTGAAACATGATTGCTGGAGACAATGAGCCCTAAACCTGCCTGAGAAACTCAACAAGTGCACAGTGGGGAAGTCCAGGCAATGAGGGCAAAGGGGACAAGCTGGTGGCCACTGACAGTGGCTGGGCTGTTTGCTCAGCTGCAGCCCACGTGGCTGGCTTCAGCTCCTTCTGAATTGCTTCCAACCTGCCTGCCACACAGGGACACTTCCGTTTTCCCAGTCATCTTCTGAGAATGCTTAGTCTCCTTTCGTTCTGTGTTTTAGGATGTCTGACCATTCTATTCTGTTTTATACTATTCTGGTTTACATTTGGCAGTATGCCTCTTTTCCAGCTGCTGTATCTCACTTCCAATCAGGTTTTTAAAGCATTCCTTGGATACAGTTTGATAACTATGGATGGAAGGCAGTGAGTGATCTGTATGTAAGATAAGGTCAAATACGATTCCATGTAATAAATGTGAGGATGTGAAGGGAGGAATCAAAGAGGAGAATCCTTCCACCGAGTTACTCCTGCCCATGGAGAAGGTCCAAGAAAGAACAGAACTATCTGTACAAAGTTTATCCTTGAGAGCTGGAAAATAACATGCATTGCCAACACACCCAGGCAGTATGGCTTCTCTCGCTTCCGGTGTCTTTCCCGGTCATATCGGTATCCTGCGTAACAAGTGCACAGTACTCGGCCAAAGTTATCTGTGCACTGCTGTTCACAGGGAGCCTCGGCACAGACATCATAATCTGAAAAAGAAAAGTGTGAACTCACATCAACCAGAGGAGAAGTCAATTAACTCAGCCCTGGCCTGGAACAGACTTTCTGAGCTGTCCCCTGCTCAAGGTCAAGTATGAAGTGTGAACAGCTCCATTCAGAAGAGCATTAACTCTTTCAAGCCCGGGGGGCAGCTTCTTCAATAACTGTAATGGTAACTTGATGTACAGTGTTTGGGTGGTTAAAAGCAAACACCACTAGTGCTTTTGCTCCTTGGGTCACCTCATCATCCTGTCCCTTGGCCTTTGTCACTGTCCAGAGAACAAAAATGCTTTCCCCAGTATTCTCTGGGGCTGCCCTGTCTTTTTCAACATATGACATAGAACTCCTTCCAGCAAGAGAAAGGTCATCTCTGATGATAAGCTCTGGTGCAAGAATGTGAAAGCAAGGGCTAAAAGTCAGGAAGGCTCAGAGAAGCATGAGGGAAGCTTTGAAATAGACTCTGAGAGCCAGCAGAGAGATGGCACTCCGGTGAGTGGTATTGAAAATGTGCATGGGTGTGTGTTGGGGGGGTGTTGATCCGTAACACCGAGGAGGTGCTGAGTAAGTTAACATGGCTGGAGATCTCATGCTAGTCCAAGTCCGTGCAAATTTGGGTGGATGCTCTATTACTTGTGAAGAATTAGGGCATCTGCTCTTCTCAGTTTCTATGAGAAATATTTAACAAGCCTCTGAAGACACTTTGGCTCTAAGTCAATAGCTCAGGCTGAACATTTGCTCCTAGACCAGACCCAGCGTCCCATTAATCACTGCATTATCTCCCCAGGTGCTGACAGATGAACTCCCCTTGGACACAGAGGAAGCCTGGCTCTGCTGTGCAGCACATGAAGGTAAACAGGTGGCCTGTCAGGCCCTGAGGCAGGCGAGGCCACTATGACAGTGTTATGCCATTCTCACCATGACCTAGAAAGCTGCCTTTGCTAAATAGGCCTTCACGCAAGCATGATTCCAGGCTTGCTTTGCCTCGATGGGTTCTGATCAACCCTACAGAGTATCCTGGTTAAATATGTCACCCTTCACTAAGAATCAGCTCTAGGCAACCCAATTCTATGCTCAAGAGCAAGGGCTCAGCACGGCCAACAAGGAGCTACCTTGTTCTGCTGTCACCATCACGGAGCAGCAGCCAGGGCCGGGAGGGAAAAGGCAGAGAGGCTAAGGAACTATGTTGACTGTGGTCCCCAGCAAGCCTTGCTTCAAAAAGCTGCCGTTCCCAGTCTGCCCCGCCATCCCTGCTTCCCTGGGCCTCCTCTTCTAACTCTCCTAGCTGACTGCTTTCACTTCCACCCCCACATCTCTAAGTAGTCAGCTTGCATTGCTTTTCTGTTATTTTAAGCACTCCCTGTTGGTTTCTCGCTAAGCGTTCTAACTTGTTCTTTGTTTCCCATCCGCACTCGTCTAAGCACTCTACACTTTCTATTCCCTCCATCTGGCCAATAGTTTTACTAAAATTTTGGTTCATTAAATCTTTAGTGTTTGTATTATAATGACAACATAAAAGCTCTTCTTTACTGAGTGTGATGTGAAAGTACAGTCTTACTACTTAGCCTTTCTTAGAGACCTTTTTGGCATTATCTTGTATATTTTCTGGGTGCCAGTTACTGAATTTTGTCTATTCGCTTCCAACTTGCCTGGCTTACTTCCCTGAGTTACTTTATGACACGAGACTTTGGCAGCCACATTTCTTCTTGCCATCTGCCAGCCTACTAGGTGCTCATAATAAGGGGTATAGCGCTTTCCTGTAATGGATGATGTCCCTTGGTTGTCACTGTAGTCTCGTCATGGAATATTAAACACAGTTCAATAGAAGTTCTTTCTATATAGCTTTACTGTAAGTAATCTGGCTAGTATGTGCCAATGTCAGTTTAAAACCTTTTTCCTAGGTTGTCTATTGTGTCCAGAGACACATGCCAATCCTTGCCTCAGAAAGTAAGTCATGCTGGACCTCAAAGGAAGGGAGAAGGCTGAGTGTTTGGACATTCAGTGTTTACTGAATGCTTCCACTATCGACGTCAGGTCCTTACTTTCATCCCTGAGTGTCCTCCCTCACTCCCAAGAACCTCTGCTTCGCCCCTCAGCAGACTGTATCTGCTGCCTGGTTGTGGATGGGGCAATATTCTGGCTATGCTGTCTACAGGACAGGATCTGAGAGCACAACTTCTTCCTAGATTTTTAGTCAATTCTATTTTGACACCATTTTCATCCCCATTTCTGTTTTTCTTGGCGTTTTGATTTGGTACGAACTCAGCAGCTTCTTAATTCTCACTTGCACTGGCCAAGGGCTTACGCTTCCCATTCTGCTAAGGATTTACCACCTCCCTATCTGCTTTCCAGCTCCCAAGGCTTTGTTGCTATTATTTCCTTCCTTCCTTTCTGACTTTGTGGTATTATGTCTTTTGAAATTTTTTTTTCCATTTTGTGGAGTTTCTGGAAGAAGTAAAGCTCATTTATTCAGCCCTCTATTTTTAATCCTGTTTTTCTTATTGGTACCGGGAATTGAACTCATGACCTTGTGCTTGCCAGGCAGGCGCTGTGCCACTGAGCTATATCCCTGACCCCTTTAATCCTGTTTTTCTAAGGCGCTATCAGCTTTCTGACCATGTAGCTTTTACCTTTGAAATGTATCCATTTTCTGTGCTTTGTGTCCTATTTCTTTTGGCATCTTTCTAACTCAGATCTTCAGACTCTCCCAGCTACACAGAATCCTCACCCCTTTACGCACATTCCGCATAACACTTTCTGGCTATCCTTCCTAATGCATAGTGCTGTGTATGTCACCCCCCAGCTCCAAACACTCTAAACTCAATGTAGGTCGAACATCCCTAATCGGAAAATATGAAATCTGAAACTCTGAGCATTTCAGATTTTCAGATTAGAGATGCTTACCTAGTAAACTCTACACAAATTTTCCCAAATCCCCAAACTGTAAAACATGTCTGGTCCCAAGCACTTTATATAAGGGCTACTGAACCTGTACTAAATAACACTAAACCTCATTGGTCCTCTCTTGTATTTGAGGTCTGCATCATATTCCTTGAGATTGTTTTCTATTCTCGAGCTCATTTGACTCCAGAAACCCAACCATTCTTCTTCACCCTTGATCAAAACCCTCTTTTCTTATCTCTATGATTTTGTCTGTTGTTTTCACCTCTATCGTCCGATCAATTGCTTGTGATTTTCACCAGTATTGTCCAATCAATACTTCTGCGCTCTCACACTTTATGATTACTGGTATCCTACCCATTATTTCAAGTGCCACTGTAAATGTCCCCAACTCCCACCAGAAGCCTTCCTTGGTCCCCACAGTAAAGGCTACTTTGTCCTCTCCACATTCACAGGACTTCATCCCCCCTTTTACCGATGTGTGCTGCCACACTCAGGGAATGCTTGCCCTCCCAATTTGCTGCTGTCTCTGTAATACCAGGTTCTTTAAGCCTCTGTTTCCTTCCTTCTAAAATACTGACAACAGTAATACCTACTTTATGGTGTTTTTACAAAGATGAAATTGTGCTGGACACAATTTCAAATTGAAAGTTTCTGAACTTAAAATTTTGAGATGGGGTCTTGCTGAATCACACACTTTTCTGTTTTTAAGGTTATTTAGTTCTTAAGATTATTTAGCTACCTGGCAAGGATTACATCCCCTGGAGTAACCTGCACCATACCCTCCTAACAGCTTATGTTCAATTCATTACTATTGGGCAAGAAAAAATCAGATCATCCTGTAACCTGGCAATTAAGATATCATTTATAGCAGGGGTTGGAAAACTTCTTTGGGAAAGGAGGTAAATCATATCTTGGCTTTGTGGGCCTCTGTTGCAACTATTAAACTCCACTGTTTTCATCCAAAGAAGCCAGACAGCACTTCAGTGAGTAAGCATGGCTGCACTGCAATAACGCTTCATTTCTAGAATCACATGGTAGGCCAGATATGACCCCCAGGCTACCCATGACTTAGAGTAACAAATATGATGAAGCAACACTTTTAAAAACTGCCCTTCTCAATTACCAGTTAGTATCTATCTGTTTAGAAACTATAGTTTCTTTTTGTTATGTATGACTATAACTTTATGTATGACTATAATTTTATGACTGGGCCTCAGGACCCACACATTTGTTTTTTTGTTTTTTTGTTTTTTTTGGTTTTTCTCCGGTACCGGGAACCGAACTCACGACCTTGCGCTTGCCAGGCAGGCGCTTTTGCCGCTGAGCTAAATCCCCAGCCCCTTGGAGCCACACATTTGGTCTGGGGCAAGGTTCACCAGGAAGATGTACATGCTGTCATATCAGTGTCCAATATATGGCATAGTTTTTCCCATAATCCATAACCAGGATTCATCCAGGAATCACAGGATAAAAATGGGAGTGGCACCACTCAATTATCCTTACTGATCCACTAGCAGAATGTTTGCTTTTGGTTCTTGTGACTTTATGCGCAGTTGGAAAAGGAGGAACACGTCTACTAGGAGAGTGATTAATGATTCACTCAACAACTATCTGGCCACTAGGCCCCTCATGCCTCTGCATCACCCTGGAAAAAGGCAGTCACTGTGGTGGGGTGAGTGTATCTAATTAACAAGGGGAAAATACTGTTATTCTGTAATAGTGGTAAGGACAAGTGTGTGTGGAATACAAGGAACACTGTACTTTGTGTTACTGTGTCCTGAAACTAAAGTCAGTAGAAAACTACCATAAAATCCCCATTCAGGCAGAGCTAATGGCTCAGATGCTTTGGGAAAGAAGGCTGTTATCTCACCAGGAAAAGACCTATGACCAGGTGAGGTACTTACTGAGGGCAAAGGGAATAGGAATGGACAGTGGAAGAAGGTAGTTACAGCAGCAATGACCATATGACCAGTTACAAAAAAAGGGACTGTCACTGGTCTGAGTATTATTTTATGAATATGTTTGTATGGGTGCAAATACCCTTGTTTTCCCTTACATCATAAGATGTATCAACTTTATGTAAATATGGTCAATTTTAGCACAGTATTTAAGTTATAACATATCAAGGACAAAAAACAAACATCATGTTGCATCTTCTTCTAGGGAAAGGGTTGGTGCATTTTTATATAGGGTATGTCTATCATGCTAGGTGGAAGTATGACCTTGCTACTGTCTTTACTTAAGACCAAGTAAGGCTCAAGATACGTACAGATACCAAATTGACAAAGGATAGATTTGTGATGGTTAATTTTATGTATCAACCTGGCTAGGTCAAAGTTCCCAGATATTTGGCCAAACGTTAGTCTAGATGTTTCTGTGTAGGACTGATAGATTGATTGATTGTGGTACTGGGAATTGAGCCCAGTGTTTCATATTGAGGTATATCCCAGTTCCTTTTTAAAATTTTGAGACAGGGTCTTGCTAAGTCACTAAATTGCCCAGGCCTGGCTTGAGCTTGAGATTATTCTGTCTTAGTATCCCAGAATGCGAGGATTATAGGCATGTACCAGCAAGCCCAGCTGTGTAGGTATTTTTCAAATGAAATTAACATTTAAGTCAGTAGATATTTGGTAAAGCAGATTGTTCACCCTAAATGAGGCTACATCCCATCAGTTGAAGGCTTATAAGAAAAAAGACTGACCTCCTTTGATGAAGGGGGAATTTTGTCAGGAGATTGTCTTTAGACTTGAACAGCTACATTTACTATTCTGTGTCTCCAGATACCAGCTTAGTTTGAAGACCTTAGATTTGAACCTCTACAATCCCATAAACCAATCTCCTACAATAAATCTAAAACTCTGTGTGATGTGTGTGTTTCTCTACACACATATATGCTATTGGTCTTGTTTCTTAAGAACCCTAAAATACAATCTTTTCTGAAATCTTGCATTTGTGCTTTGCATTCCTGGTGACAAAAACCTTTATGACTAAATATAGTTTTAATATTAGGAACAAATAAACACTGATTTTATTCCCATAGGTAAAAGCAAATCATCTTTAGAAAGTATTCTTTTGAAAAGCACCAGAGAAAAGAGTTAGTTATGCAAAGCAATATCTTACATTTAAGTATATTTTTCCTGGAAATATTCAGTTCTTGGTTACATTAATCATAGGTGCTGTGGTCTCACTGTAAGGTGAGAGAGGATAGTTTTAGGTTTGGAGGTTTGAAATCACAGTATGCTGCACTGACAGACACTCTGAATATGTGATTTCTATATAATGTGGTTTTAATTAGGTAGGGCATGGTCTTTGGTTAGGATCTTAAACTGATTGGCTTAAACTTTCTCCTCAATCTCTGAAAAACTGTAATAAAAAGGACAGAGTTGGTGACTGACAAGAGCTGGCCTATAAAAGAATGCAATCTTTTGTGACTTCTGTGGCTGTAGCCACCAGGCTCTAACCAACAGAATTGGCTGGCGGAGAGATACTCATCTTAGAGACACCCAGGGCTATATTAACCACGATCAGTGGGATGATTTCCTAACCAGCCCTCCCATGACAGTATTCTCAAATGTCACAGCTGTGGTTTAATCAAATTTTGCATCCTTCAACAGACGAAAGCAATGAACAGGATAGATCCATTCATTTCTAAATGCTACAGAAGGTGTGCAGCATGAAATGATGTAAAAGAATTATCTTGGCTGAGCCACCGTACTCTGGAGAGACTTGGCTTCCTACACAACAATGAAGAAATTTCTATTTCACACACTCCACACCCATTGCCACCCAGCCTGAACCAACTTATCCCAGGCTCTTCAAACAGCCCCAGTTCTATCTGTGTCCTGCTCTACCTGGCATCCTAGGCAGCACTCTGCTTCTCCTATGTCCTAGGGAGACTGTCCTGGTAACTGGATTTAAGTCTCCCTTCCTTCTTGAGGATGACTCTGACCACTGTTCTTCTATGGCACAGATTATAGTTGTTAAAAACAAAAGCAGTCACAGTAGCCACCATATATCAAGCACTTAGTAGGAACTAGTCTGTTTCAAGTATTTGCATATTAAAATGTTGTTATAATACACATGACTTGAACAACAATACCTGCCTGTAAAAACTAAGGGTTAGAAACTAACTTGCCCATGGGCACACTGGGTATCATGTGTGTCATGGCTTGTATCTAGATGTCCCCCAATGCCTTGTTCAGTCACAGGTGGGGAGTTTCGAAGGTGGCTGGATTAGGGTGTGTGATGCTGGGATTAAGGGTACTGGATGTGGCTGGCACCACTCAAAAGGCAGGTAACCTGGATGGACTATAAAGGGAAAGAAAAAAGCTGCTTCTGCTGCTGCTGTTGCTGCTGCTTCTGTTTGCTACCTTCTGCTTAACCATGAGCTGTTTCTCCTATGTGATGACCCTGTGCCATGCCACCTTGCCTTGGAGCCAGCTGATCATGGAGTAAAACCTCTAAAAACTGTGAGCTAAATAAACCTTTCTTCTTTTAACTTGTGGATTTAGGCATTTTGTCTCAGCAATGAGAAAAGTAATTAAGACAACGTGGAAACATTGTTAGACCCAAATCTATCTGATTCCATATGAGACACCTCACTCAAGAATGCACCTGGGGGACTGGTCCATGCCTTATATCTCTGTCTTCATATGCGGGCTGAGCCCTTAGTGTTGGCTGATGGTCATGTAAAAGGCTTCAGTTTAGCACACGGAAAACAGGTAGAGAGGTCAGGGGGAAGGCCGAGTTATAGTTGTTGTACAAAATGCTAGTTAGGGAATTACTGCCTATTAAATATAAAATCTGAAATATAAGAATGACTCAATGTGTGTGAATATAGTATGTAATGATTTAGACAGAATATATAACATATAACCAAATAAGCATACAAAAAGTTAAAGCCAAAATAGAGAATTATACACAAACACAATAAAACATAAACAATGCACATACATTCTAGGTGCATCTGAACTGCATAGACTTCTAGTGACCAACTGTAAATGTAGCAGGGTGAGATCATCTTCTGTATTACATACCCTCTGGGATGCATTGTCCAAGAACAAACTTATACCCTTTGCAGCACTTTTTCCTAAAACACAAACAAAAAGGCATTTTAAATGCAAGGCTAGATTAAATATAAAAGTATCTTCAGTGATTGTTTTGGAATGAAGTAACTCATTCATAGGAAAATCTGAGGCACTAATAGGGTGGAATATTTTAAAGGCATTCTGAGATTACAAGGAAAAAATACTATCAAAACCATAAGACCACATCTTCCCATACCAGGATTTGTTACATAATATATAAAAATTAGTCCTTAGAATCTTACAAAGTAAATTTTGGATCTTTCTCACTGGAATAAACATTTCCTCTGTCTCTCCATGTCTCCTACTTCTATTACCTTCCCCTCCCTTCTCTTGCAGATGAATTCACATAAGCTTCCCTTTACCACTTCCAGTAGCACGCATCAAAGGCAGAGAATGAATGTGGATTCAGTGAATCTGCAGCTCTAGAGAACATACTTCTAGACATTTTGAGTTGACTATAATAGCCATACTGCCGCTATAACAACCTTTAATAAAAGAAATTAGATTCCTATCACAATACCATTGTTATTTGTGTTTGGATACCTTTCCTAAGTGGATAAGCTAAATACAGTCAGCCGCCAGCTGGGGACTACACAATACCTGCAGCTTCAGGCTGCCGTGTGGACATGCCATTGTACGGTGTAGTGCTGAAAGGTCCACAGACTCTTGATCTGGGAAATTAAGCACCATCTGAGCCCTAAAGTAAGCCCCTACCTTCTTCAAATGACCACAACCACTGGATACAGTGACACACGCCCGTAATCTCAGCTACTCTAGAAGCTGAAGCAGGACGATCACAAGTCTGAGACCAGTTTGGGCAATTTAGAGAGATCTTGTCTCAAAATAAAATAAAAAGGGTTGGGGTTCCATCTCCCTAGTGTATAAACCACCACCAACACAAACAACTGGAACTCTCAACCAGGTTGAATAAGGCCTTCCGTCTAAAAAAGGTATTTCATATGCTTGACTTATTTTTCTTATCACATTTAAAATAAAATGTGTAGAAAATAATGTATGATTATTTTCTACTTTTGCAAATTTGGATCATCTAACTATATTATTGGCCAAATGAATTTGTGTGAGTTGTCTGCTCAGTGGATTATCATTTATAGGAGAAATTTAAGCAATCTCTTCCTAAAATATAAAAAATTATAAAAGTTATTAAATTCTTAATTTATAAATGTTATATAAAATGTACTAAATTGTCATACATTTCATAAAAGTCACATTTGTAAGAGAACTCTGAAGTCAAGATAGAGTAATGCTATTTTGTTTTTCTTCTAGCAACAGTTCTCACTCACATGCAGCCCAGCTGTGGAAGATATCTTACTTCAAAGACACTGAAGTGGATTTTCATTATAAAAATAGTGGCATCTGGGATGCTCCCAAAAGAGCCCTCCATTTCCTGTCTAAACTGATTCTCCCAATATAGATTAATGTATTAATCCATTGACATTATTGATATAAATGACATGTGGCAGTGTGCAGAGTTTTCCTCTTAGAAATCACTTTCCAGTGTCTTTGACTAGAATATAACCTCATGTGCTAATGGAAGCCTGTGAGGGTATAAATTTATGATGATGATGATGATGATGATGATGATTTGGAACAGAAGCAGAGGACCTACCTTTACATCCCATGGAACTTAAACTTGGCCTAGTTTTCCAAGGTTTAAAAATGTCCAAGCTAACTAAAGGAAAAGTGGCTTTACAGAGTACTCATTAAAATTTTATGGTTATTCCCTACTTCATTACTTGAGGCTGTACTACAGAAAACTATACAACAAAGAGCAGTGCACTAGATAATCTGAAACCCAAATAGACTCATGAGAAAGTTGGACAGAGGGAAAAAACATATGTTTTTGATACTCAAGTCTAACACCACATTTAAACATGTGGTTCTGTTTGTCTGTTTCTATTTAAATTCTGCTGCTAAGGTATAGCCTCCAAGATGTTTCAAAGCATTTTTTAAAATGGATATGACCCTTGCAATCTGTCCACATCCAAAATGTAAAACTTGGGTACTCTAACTTTTTTGAGCATTTCAAGGACTTGTGACCCTCCATACAGTGGAGTCAGAAACAAACCTGTCGTTTGCTTTTTTATGAAATTAACCAATAATGATGTGATTTGATATGCTTTCAAAAAGCTTCCCTGGCAGGAGAAAAGCTGAGTCTCAGAATGGGCATGCATCATTTAAATACCTGCTCAGCTATGAATTAACTTTTCCTTTGGGATTTTTCTTAATTGTGTAACTGACTCCAGCTCTCCGCTCCAGGGAAATAGTGCCGAGACTCGAGGGCATCCGCCTGCCTTCCCTAGAGGTCCTGGGAACACGCCATTATTTTGCACATTAAACACTCACCAATCATAATTCACCATTTAAAATCAATAATGATATCCTTCAAAATAAACACTGGTTGCATGTGTTATAACATTTCAAAGATTACTTACAATATAATTTATGTATATAAAGTTGAGACAGCCAAATGAAATCTTGTCATGCAAGCCAGGGCACTTGTCAGGCTAACTACAAACACTGCTGTGCAGTTTTAATCTTTAAGAAAAACAAACTAAGATGAGGAAAGTTCATGGGGACTCTGGGGAGGCGGTCATTCTTAATACGCTTCACGTGTTGTAGCTTGGTTTTCCAAATGCAAATGCTTTTCTCATTTTTTTGGAGAGGGGAAGTGGTGATCAGATGGTTTTACAGAGAAAAAGCCATGTCTGGTAATCAAGGAAGCCTGTGGATATTTCCCCTGGGGGTCCCTGAGAATGATTACACGTAAAAATCTCACAACAGTGCATCTAGGAATACATCCCATCAGTCAGGTGTGTGAAAGCTTTTGGAGGGAAAAAAAATCAAGACAGTGAAGATAACAGCATCAGACTGTCTGGAACAATGGTGGCAAACCTATGGCATGTGGGCTACAGCAGGCTGTTTGTTATCACTGAATGCTCTAAAAGGTTTGCCATCTCCGGTGTAGAGTCTATAAAAGAGTTTTTAAAATCTGCCTACAGAATTTGGGCTTTAGAGAGTACCTTAAAAAGTCAAGTACTACTTAAATTTTTGCTGCAAAACAAAGATTTTCCTAAGATCTGTTGAGGCTTTCTCTTGTATAACTGCCTTCTCATGCACCACATATATAGGATCTGTTTTTGAATGAAAGAGTTACATTTTGGAGAGTATTTGATAGGATCTGGGGCCAAGGTATGTGTATGCGTAGTAGACAGAGAACTCGTTTGGGGCCTAGCAAACCTGATTTACAATTTTGGCTCTGATATTTAGCAGTGTGACCTCAGGCTTGCTGCTTAAACTTGCTGAGCTCCAGACTCCTCGAGGATAAAGTATAGATAAAAAAATTCTCTTGCACAGTCATTGTAAGGATTACAGATAATATAACAAAAGTGATTAGTGCAGGCCCGGTCTGAGGTCAGAATAGCTTTCTAGCTGCATCTTTATAAACAGAGCAAGCACACAGCAAAGGCGACTCTTCCTGGTTGCTTTCACCTTGTGACTCACCTTTTCCTTCTACTTCTTATTCAATGACAGACATCTCTCCTTCCAAAAACAAAATGGGGAGGAGGAGGGACAGAAGCTTCTGATTGCAAGAAGGAAATATTGTGATGGCAGAGAGGAAATATTTTTATTTCTTCTTCTTTCACACATTAATCCCAAATGATAACAAGAAATAAACTTGTAGGCTTCACACCGCATGATTTAGGAGACATATCTAACCCTGAAACAGGATGCAGTCGTACCTTGGTTCACAAACTCAGTTCTGCAAATGATTCTGGTTGCAAACCAACCTAGATGAGAACCGAGTCAAATTTCCCCATAAGGTCAACATTGAACCTAATCACTGAGTTTGACCGGTTCTCATCCAACTCAGTTTATGACCAGAATTATGGAAAAAATCAAGGTATCACTTATATGAGCACGGCAAATGAATGGAAAGATGGGAGGGATTTTTCAGAGTCGTATAACTCAAACCTAGGTGCCTTCAGAGGTAGCTCCTATGGAGAAACCAGCCAGCTCACCCTGCAGAACCTCAGCAGGGTGTAGAAACTGGAGGTACCAGCTACTGAGGACAGCGGAGGCTGAAAGAAGACAGCTAGGTGACCTGCAAGTCTTCCCGTTTCTGACTCCAAGCAGTCAGCTGGTTCTTCTTTGCCCGCTATTGCTAGAGGTGTCTTTGTGTGAAAGAAAATTGTACCCCAGAGGTTCAAGGCTCTGGGACAAGCTAGAGAACTGAGTGGAATCTACTTACTAGTAAATGATGCTATCCAGGCACACATAGTTTCCTAACACTGTCCAAGAGCCCATTCAATGTAATTCATTCCAGAACAACAAGAGCCTAATGGCAAACTAGAGGGTGGCTCCCACACAGCTGCTCAGTCCTAAATGAACAAAGAAGACTTAAAACTAGAAGAACCCAGTTTGCATCAGTTCTGTTCATCATTCCCACCACGCTGCAGTGAGCCTGAGAAGGCAGCCCCTATGAAACTTCTGCCAGGAGGTAGTACACAGAATATGATCCCGCAGGGCCAATTTTAAAGGGCTGAGGGTTTAAAAGTAGTACTGAATTTCTCCATAAATTCCTGTTAGCGTGAGGAATCTTTCCCCTCTTCCTCTTAACCTTCTTCTCTTGCTGAAATCTTTACTGAGCTCTGCGTGACTTCATGTGAGCTACTATAATTCCTTTTACGCTGAGCCCTGAGAACAGAAGTGAGCACAATGACTCACTGCCCATCTGGGGACACCGCTGGAGTCTTGTAACCAGAAGTCCTCCTCCCAGGCGAATGCAGCAAGCCCACATTTCACACCACGATGATTAAGGGTAAACAAAACAACCCCCACCCCTATTTATTCATCCACATGTAAATTTGTGATAACTCAGTTTTGCTGACATCATTAAGAGAAATCATAAACAGATTAAACATAACTTGCTACTATGTGTACAATTACTGATGGCATGATCAAGTGAGGAAAACAGTATAGG